TTGCTGTAAGTCTGTCTACCCATGGCCCATGTGAGCACTGATGTTCTTAGTTTCAATTCACTGCTAACCTGTATGATCGCAACCCTCTTTTGTAGGTACTGATAGGGTCCCCATTTTACAAGGTTACACCCTAACAAATATTATCCACAGTTTTCTCTGAGTAATTTATATGTTAATTGAAAGATACCGAGGAATCCAAATGGGAAAAATAAGTTGGCTAGAGATGACTAAGGAAGATTTAGCAATGAATAATAAGAACGGAAATGGCAGATGTTCTTAGACGCTGTAACTCACAATGGTAAAAACAGTGTCCCTTGCACACTATATAGAGAGATCAGTGAGACAGAATAGAAAGTGAAAAGCATACCTGTGTAAAAATGCATGATAAAGAGAGCTTTTTTTTTTCTTTCCCTTTTCTTTGAGACAGGGTCCCACTAGGTAGCTCTGGCTGTCCTAGAACTCACTGTGTAGACCAGGCTGGCCTTGCACTTATAGAGATCTGTCTGCCTCTGCCTCCCAAATGCTGGGATTAAAGGCCTGTGCCACTATGCCCCACTTGAAGATACCATTTTGAATGGAGGGTAAAGAGATGAACGTAGATCTCCTGGGTGAATTTGAGGTGTGCTGGGTTCTTGTGGGCACCATTGCTCACACAGCCTACCACCAGTATTACAGCTCTAGACTGTTCATGCAAAACAGTTAGTTGTTGCTGAAAGAAGAAACCAGATCATCATATAATAATCCCAAGATCATTATATAACAAATTTAATTAATGAATGTGGTAGCAAAAATAGGAAATACATGATTGACTAGATCATTAAGTTGGAAACCATAGTATAAAACCACAGGGAAAAATGTCTGACAATCACAATGAAAATGTAAACTAGGGAAAGATTTTTACTATAGGTAACTAGGGAAAGATTTTTACTATAGGTGATACACAAACGTTCCTATCTTTACATTATATAAAGAACCTCTTAGATGCCCAGAATGTGAATAACAAAAATTGAGATGATATTGGCTAGGAAAATGAAGATGTATAAAGAGATTCCTAAAGCCAATAAAATTGTGAGAGTTCACCCTACTAACTGAGGCTCGTGGAAACCATTATTTCCCCCAAAGTGTTTCAAGAAAATAATAATTGTGGTCATCATCATCATCATCATCATCATCATCATCATCTGCGTCCTTGTCAGATCGCCTCCTGTAAGATTTTGGGGATGGAAATTGGTAGCATATTTAAAGAGCCATGGAACTTATAAATACATCCAAACATTAATAAGGAAGGGTTATTTAGCTACACCGACAGGAGTGGCCGAATTGTCTGCAGTCACAGTCTGTGCTGTGCCGGGGCCAGGATTTGTCCTGCAAATGACAAGGCCACGTAAGCAGGTCGCCGAGCCGGGCTCCCATTGCCTGCTTAGAGAGAAGCCTGTGGGAAGATTTGTACCACATGAGTAGCCGTTTAAGTGGAGGGAGAGTTTTTATTTTCCTTTTCGTCTCTGTTGTTCAAGGTTTTTCATAATGCAGGTTGATTGATTTAGTTATCTGGGGGAAATGCCATCTTGTTGTTTAAAAGCTACCCAACTAAGTTTTATTATTTTCGTGAGATGCATGACAGAGCGTTCTTAGGATGGGATGTTGCTGTTTAGGCGACTTGCTAGAGTTTAGCCCCGAGATGTGGTGACAGGGCACTGACCATGGCTGAGCTACCTGTCACAGAAGCGTGAGATTTCGGTGGCAGAGAAGGTGGTTTGGAGAAGAGTGAAGTTGTATTCATGTGTGGTACTTGCACATAGTGGCGTGTGGATGTCCACAGCGGCCTGGAAGAGGCTCACTCGTAGGTCATCTCTGCCATTCCCCCCCATAGTCCCTGGAGACAATGTTCCTCGCGGACCCCAAAGCCAGCCTGGCAGTCAGCAAGCCCCAGCGATCCCCATGTCTCTGACCCCTCACAATGCTGGGGTTACAGGTGCTCATATGGCTGTAACTGACTTTTGTACATGAGTGCTGGAGATTTGAACTCAAGTCCTCAAACTCGCATAGCTTGCACTCTTGACCACTGAACATCCTCCCAGCCCCAAATAAGATTTCCGTTTTCCACATCCTTTATTTCAAGGGTATAAAACAGCTTAAAGGTTTTTAGAATTTCTGTATCTGGAAGATCCGGACTGGTTGCCAGCTGGTCCTAAAGAGCTTGTAAATAATCGTATAATCCCTTCTGATAGTTACCTGCAATGTGAGGATCATTCTCCTACAGAGATGTCATGTGTGAAGGAATGGGTGCCCAGGCAGCAGGTAAAAGGATGTGCCGTGGGAAGAACATGCAGAGCTTAATGAGGGTAACTTTCTTTGCCTTCTCGGTGTGTCTTGTCTTGGTAATTCATTATCAAGCATTCCTGGATTCTTCACTTTGATTTTCATTTGCTGGCAGCGGGGGCAGTCTGCAGTTATTCAGGAAGTGGTAGAGGAAAGGGTAGTTGAGGGGCTGGGTCTCAGAAAATAAGCTTGAACCAAAGAACATCCAGTGTCCAGAGAGCTTACGGCTAACCTGCCTCAACTTTGGCTTTCTACCCGTACACACCTGTGATTTACAATTCCGACTTTGAGCTTCCAGTGATCATAAATCTTAGGCTCAGGGACGTTGGCTGTTTAGATCCTGGGCAATGAGCCTAGATATTGCTACCAGAGCAGAAGACTGAAGACGGGATTACTCATTCCTGGATCTCGCTCTGTAGACCAGACTGGCCTCGAACTCACAGAGATCCACCTGCCTCCGACTCCCGAGTGCTGGGATTAAAGGCGTGCACCACCATGACCAGCCTTCTCCCTCTTACGCTTGACTCTTAGCCCTCCTTGTGAATTGAAGGGTTAGCATTACTTCAGGGTGTGTTGCTGTTGTGTTGGGAAGGTATTCATTCCTTCAACAACAACAAAAAAATCTTCAGGAACTTTAATGATAAATATTTTAAATCTACAGTTTAAAAATCATATAAAATGGTGATAGTTGCTTCCTTTCTCACAGTTGAGCTGGTTTGTTACCCACCACTTCCAGAACATGGTAGAGGACATCATTTACTCTTAAATGTTGTTGGTATTTTGTCATTAACCAAGATAGTCTCTGTTGGTTTAAGAAAGGCCTCCCCCCTTAAACTCCTAAGAGAGTCTTTTTGCCGTTAGGACTAATGGGCAGCTTTGTGCCATTTATTGGATTTCTTTTGTTGACTGTGCCTTTTATTTGCCTAGGATTTATATATATTTTTTTCTGAACTCAAAATAATCAATTCTGTTAACTAGCTTTAACACCTTTATTCCCTATTAATTTGGACTTAATTGCTGTTGCCAGCATGTACACACACACACACACACACACACACACACACACACACACACCACCCAAGCCAGTTTTGGTCATGTATCAATTCCAAGTCCTGTGACAGCTTTCTGCCTGATGTCCTCGGGTTATTGCTTGTCTTTGTTTCTTGGAGATCAGAGTCTTTGCCTTCCCAGGCCTCCCTTAGGAGCTAGCTGCCCACAGGCTAAGACTCCCTGTGAGTCTTAGCAGAAGCCACCGGTCTCCTGGCTTGGAGTCAAGAGCAGTAGACTTACAAGCAGTAACGGTAGCACAGAATCATAATTTTTCTCACCCAAGTTCTCACCGGCTAGTCCACTGAACCGCAGGTGAGTCATACCTGTGTAAGCACCCTGCTGCTTTCCAGAAGGGTCTAAACGTGCTCTACCGTCTCGGCCTGTTCACTCTTTTCCTTTGCCCTTCTGGTCTGTTGCCAGATTCCTCTCCATCTAGGTAGATGCCTTTCCAAGTCCGTCACTGTCCACTTTGTCCTTGAGTTGCCCTTCACCATACTATCGTTTCACATCTCCCAGTGGCCCTTCTTGGTGTCTCCAGAGACCCGCCCTGATCTTGCAGGTCGATCTTGGTGTCCCCCTGCCATCCTGGGTTTTGGTTAGTGTCTTAATGTCTTTATAGGTAATGCCCAGAGACAGGGTTTTTTGGATCTCAGAGAGAACCTAAGTGGGTCAGTGTTGGGGTTCGATGTGCGTTTGAGGAGCTCATAGCCAGCGCCGTGACAGCATAATGGATAGGGATTTGGGTCAAGTTTATTTCCTTGTGGCAGGTTTTGGAGACAGATAATGGCTGCTGTCGATTCAGCTCTTCAGTAACCCTCTAGTAAGCGTCTTCAGGATGCTGTTCTCACCATCTGAAATTCCTCTTTGTCCCGATGTGTGCTTCCAAATTATAGCCATCCTTGAAATTACTAGTTCTTCCAGAACCTTTCTTAACTCCCATGTGGAAATATTCTTTCCTTATATTCCTGTAGGCAAGGTGAAGGTAAAAAATGACCTTATCACTAAACACACACACACACACACACACACACACACACACACACACACAAATATGCCTTCCTTCCTCACGGAACTGTAAATTCCATGCTTATGGTGTTGCCCTGTGCAGAGCGCCTGTTTCAGGCAGGCATAGTTGAGTTTCCATGTTGAATGAATGATAGAGAAGGAATGAGCCGTCTCTTTGAGAAACTTGTCATTAGTAATTAGAGCTTTGAAGAGATATGTTGTCATGGGTGAGAATATAAAGGTGTTGGAACTTAGGAGACAGTTTAATTTACAGGAATGGAATGCATATATTGCCAAAAAGGACCATCTTTATTGTATGAACTTAATTTATGACCACATACAGATTTTGTTGTGTTTTGTTTTTGTTTGTTTGGTTCGTTTTGGTTTTTTGAGACAGGGTTTTGCTGTGTAGGTCTGGCTGTCCTGGGACTCTCTTCTCGCTCTATAGACCAGGCTGGCCTCGAACTCAGAGATCTACCTGCCCCTGCCTCCCCAGTGAGTGCTGGGATTAAAGGTGTACGTAACCACTGCCCGGCTAAATACAGACTTTTTTTTTTTTTTTTTAAATGCTAGACGGTGTGTTTTTAAATACTGCTAAAGCATTCTGTTACTTAGATGGGGCCTGAAATGGAGACTCTCCTTTCTCTCAGTGTCTAGATGAGTACGACGATGATGAAGCGGGTCAGAAAGAGCGGAAGCGAGAAGACGCCATCACACAACAGAATACCATCCAGAACGAAGCGGCCAGCCTCTTAGATCCAGGCGCTTCCTACCTGTCCCAGGTGAGCGTTGAAAATGGCCAGCAAGTCCCTGGCTATTGGAACAACGGTCTTTTAAACTGCCCTTCATCATCTTTCCAGTCTCCCGTCCTGTGGGTTTAACCTCCGATCTCCCTTCTATCCAAATACTTACTGACTTGATCATTGTTTGGCGCTCGGTCCCTGAGCGAAGACTGTTATTGTCTGACTGATTGGCTGGGTTTAGGTGACATCAGCTGTAAAAATAACCAAGAAAAATAAGCGCTTTCTTGTTGCTCACAAGTAAGGATGCAGTGGTTGAGCTGAGTGTCCCGGTCTGTCGTAGGCTGACTTTTGGATCCTAACTGAAGAAGCAAACCTGGGACCCAGTTTCCCCAGTCAACTCTTTAGACACGATACAGTCTTAAGCAGAGCCTGGCGCTGTGAATAGAGCCATGTTGACGTTCACAGAAACACTTGCCTTTCTGTCTAGTTTAAAGTATCTTTGGAAATAAAACGTAATTCAGTTTCACTTGAGCTGCTTGCTTTGACGATGAAACAGATCACACTATAGGATATTTTTTTTGGGTGCTTCTCAGGACACAGAATCCACTGCCCTGATGTGTCTCTCATCTCTAGAATCAGTTGTGTTAAGTGTGTTTTGAAATATAATTGATCTGGGTCTTGTTAATTTTTGTGACATTGTAAGTCTGCCTGCCTGGCCTTTCTCTCTCTCTCTCTCTCT